TCTCCCAAGGAACTTGTTGAAATTGTGGATTGTTTGGACAACTCTCACAAATAGCTGGAGTCAACAGACTAGTCGTAGAGCTTAAAATCTGCAGTATGTATAGTTACAGTCAGGTAATTTGGACACAAATATCCATATTTTAGATATTTAAAATACAGGTAATGTCCATATTTAGAATACAGTTAATGAATAGTCTAAAGAGCACACACCATCTTGTTTCAGTTTATTAGGACATTCTATTCCATATAGTTAAAAAGTTGTACCTACTTTACATGAACCTTCACCTGAAATAAACCTTAAAATAAATAAATAAATAAATAAATAAATAAACTTAAATAAATAGTAAATTTCTCTGAAAAGACTTCTTGAATCCCTAGGAGAGGTTATCACTGCTTCCTCTAGATCTCGTGAAACCCAGAAAGAGCATAGTATTTTATTGTTACTTAATGGTTTAATATATTTTATTCTTGGCTTGCGAGGATCTTCTGATATCTCTAGCTTCTGGCCCAGTGGTTGGCATATCCTAGAAACCCAGTATATATTTTCTGACTATACCTGGATTGCTGGTCTGTGGTGATTCTGCCAGGCAAAGCCTGCCAAAGACTTGCAGGTGGACATGGCATCTGGTTCCAGAGAGAAACTTGCCTCTTACAATGCAATGTCACCATATTAATTAAGCTGAGACCATTTCAACGTGGTCTTATTACCAGGATTTTCCATTCTTCCTGCAAGCAGACAAGATTTCTAAAGCCTGAATCTGTGATTTTTAAGATCCACTAAATGTCCATCTTTTCAAACATGTCTCGAGTCCTTTCATAGTTCCCCCTTCTAACACATCTTTGGATCCATCTGAATCTCTGAGCAGGCAATATTCTAGAGCAAGGAAACATCACACAGGGAACCACGTGTTGTTGGTATTAGAAAAGAAGATACAAGGTACATAACCTATGCAGAAGCTAAGACTGAACCTGCCACTCAGCTCTAGAGGAAGTACATGATTGCCTGAGAGAACAAATCTAGATCACTGGCTTGTTCAGTGCTTTAAGCAGCTGACATGAAAAAATTCACTGTATTTCAACAACCACCACCACCAACACACCATCAGAAGCTGAAATCAGAGCATTTCATTTGACTGTGTCATTGAAGTAACCACAAAACTTTTCACAGGCCTCTTTTCTATACCTTACTCAGTACTATAACAGTTTGTTTATCAGCCTATACCTTGTCTGGAGTGCACATCTCTGAATGACAAACACAGTGTCTTAGTTTTTAAAAATTTATCTGGTATATCTAATTTTTCTATCTGGGTTTTATGAAGCTTTAAATTTGCAAGGTTTGGAAGGCCTTTTTCAAGAAAAAAATACAAGTTAAGCAAGTAAATGAATATTTATTTAGAATAAAGGAAGAAATCACAAGTTATACATTTTAAATATTAGTGACAATAAATATTACAACATTTAAAATGTAATACTTTATAGTAACTGCCTGACATACTTCTACAATGTTTTTCCTACATTTTTAGTTACATAATCTTTGATCATCTCCTTGTACAGCATAGTTATGAGTTTGTAATATAATTTTTAAAGGAAAATGGAAAGATGATGTCCTCTTTTCTCTAACACAGTTGATTGATTTGTTTTTATTATTGAGAGTTGGGGGGCTTAACACATGAGACTTCATGTTTTTTTGCTGCGTAGGGTATTAGCAGTACTACAAAACACAAAAATCCTAAGAAATTCTATTCCAAACATTCTATTCCAAAAAAGAAATATATACATCACATATTACAATTGTACATGTGGCTTCATTGAATTATTTCCGACAGAAAAAGCTTGGGTTTTTACTGGACTTTAGTGAGCATTGCGTCTCTCATTTAAAATTTTGCACTGTTAATAATTGGAAAAATGTTGAAGACTACTTTCAGAACTTAATTAGCATCTTATCCACCTAACTCAGGTTCCAGGTGACGCAGGACTATAATTCACCCTCGGATCCTACACTTCTAGCTGAGATCCCCAGTGGGTGACTCAATGGATTCCTTAAAGCCATTTCTACTCTGAGACGCCTAGTCTCAACTTAACACAATATAGAAGTGCCTAACAGCGATATAAATTCATCCCATTACAGCTGACCTAACACAGTCCCTTATCCAACTGGTTTCCCAAATTGCCAGCAGTCATTCAACTCAAGCTAGCATAGAAAAGCAGAGAAAAGGTGAAGAGCACAAGTAAGAGATACTAATCTTAATGGAATGCTATTAATAAATCACACTATTTCAAGTTTCAGACAAATGTGTAACACTTTGTCACATGACCCATCCAAATAAGAAATCCTGAAACAAAACTTGTATGAGCTTCTTGGTAAATCTGTTTCTTGTTTCCATGATGGTGTATAGTATATTGGGTATTCAACAAATAATTACTAAAGAACAAAGAGAAGAGAAAATGGGTAAAGAAGAAAATAATGAGGAAAGAAAGAGTAGAACTGAATTTCAATATATCTGAGCTAAATTTCAAATATTTGTTTTCAAGCTATCAGCTGTTTCAATCACTGATAGTTGTTTTGTTCCACATAGCCAGTGCTATCTGTCTCATTATTTTCTTTTGCTTCCTGAACTTTTCTCATTCTAAACTCCCTTTTAAAATGCACTGGCCTTGAAGGAATAATAAAATGTAGTCTGCTTGGAGGGCTCCAGATATAAAGTTTCCCATTGAGTTCCATTAAGTGCTAACTACCATCATGTGGGGGTCAAGACAATGTTCTTGCCTGAAGACTGCATTCCTAAGCTCATCACCTTTTATCTTTTTTCAAGCCTTATGTATTCTTATACTTTGGTACTTCCTTCTAAAATGTACTATTTTCCACAGAATGGACAGTGTTAATGAGCTTCACTTACTATATGATTTGTAGTTGTGTTGCAGAGACTTAGATTTATGGCTTCATATATTAATTTGCTTATCTTAGTTTGAAGCATTGACAGATTTTTAGTCTTAAGATCTTGGGATAAAATATTTCTTATCATTTTTATTTGATTTTACTTTAGTTGCATCTCGTATCTGTTAGTTCCCTCAGAATTCTTTTGCAGGTTTTCAGTTCTGTACTTCCAACTTCTTTATCAAGATACTTTATTTCTCCCTTTCATCTCAAAATCCCAAATATCCTATCTCCTTTCAAACTTCTCTAAAATTCAAACAAAAATTCAACCATTTAATATTTCTTAAAATGCTTTGTTGATTAAAGTACCCCTCTCTGTATTTCCAAAACAAAATTGAAATGCAATACTTCTCCTAAGCAATCTACAACTACATACACTTAAATCTACAGTGTGGTCTTCCTAATCCATATGTAAATACTGAGTCACTGGAAGACATTATATTTACATTAATTCATGAGGTTTTCATTTCTCCAGACTATACACCATTGGAAGGTTAGATTATTTTAAAGTTGGATTTCAAATATATCATTGTTTATCTTCCTTCCATTAACTTGTCACAGTAAAATTGTTTATTTTTAATATTTTAAAATTGAAGGAGTCTCTCATTAAAGTTTTCTCTACCTGGTTTCCAAATCTCTTTCCCTGATGTTAGTTAATTTCATCTTTTGGGCTTCCATCAAAGTGGATGTGCTTAATGGTCTGAATGACAATGAGGATATGGACTTTCTCTTAATAAGCCTTGAAATAATTAACTTCACAGAAATTAATTCCGGCCTCCCTCCAGTGATTTGCATTGCAGGCCACTGAACTTCAAAGGTGCTAGGTGAGGCAATACTTAGAAGATCCTGGGTGTATCTTCCCCATTTAATATTATCAAGTGTTACAACATCTTGTACTGAAAAAAAGTGTATGACTTCCCAAGTTTTTCCTTGTCAAGTCCAGACAACAGTTAGTATATATTTCTTTTCTGTAGCAATCATTTTCCTTCCTTGTTTGGTTCACCTGTTAGTCCTGTTTACATGCCTTGAGACTAGCAAGAATAAAATCTCTTTTACTTTTTATATCAGCAAGTGATTCAACACAACACATGATTTTTCTGAGTCTTTTGCATACTAAGCAGCTTTTGAGTCCCTAAAATATTTTAAATTCCTTAACTTTGAATACTCTCCTGTCTCCTTTTAATATGCTGCCATTTATCTATATCTTGCAAAATGTAGCATCCAAACTAATAATTGTATTTGAGGTGAAAAATGATTCAAGGTGAAGAGTAAATCATTACCATAATTACAGATATCAGATGTCAGTTAATACAGCACTACAAGAGTGCTTTCTTTCTTTTGCTCTGTCTCTGTTTCTCTCTGTGTGTCCATGTTTATAACAATTAATTACAAAAGTATTCAATAACATGCAGGTAAATGTTAAACAGCTGGCTCTTAGGGGAAAATGTGACTTACAACAGTTTCTTACTTCTAAGAACTATATATTCACATCATAGTGTATTTTAAGTCAAAAATGTTGTGTTGTCAAATGCAGAGATAGAAAGAGATACGTAGGAAAGCAACATTATATAATATTCATACCATTCAGATACTGTAGATATACATAATCTCAAGAGTATTGGTATTAGTAAAATACAATAAAATAATTAAGAAAAGGATATATTTGGGTTATTTATTATATTTGTTTTAATATAATTATTTAATTTATGAGATTATATAATCTAACTTTTTAAATGAGTATGTTTAACTGACTTGCAAATCCCTGAAAACTTAGCTATTGGTTTACAGAAGCTTAGACAGTCATGTCTAGAGTAATGCTAATTGACACCAACCAGGATTTTAAAGAACTGTGACAATGCTAAGCTAAGTGTCTTCTGTATAGTTTTGAAGTTGCCTGGTTCTATTGTTAAAATTTGCTTTAGTTTTTAACCTGGGTTAAATATTATATATATATATATATATATATATATTTAATATTTTAAAATTGAGGGAGTTTCTCATTAAAGTTTTCTTTACCTTGTTTCCATATCTCTTTTTCTGATGTTAGTAAATTAGTATAACATATATTCATCTTGTTAGATTTATTTCATTTTTGTACAGCCAAGCAATCCTTTCATCTGGTCCATTACTCTTTAGATCCTGATTCTGTCATCCCACATCTCTGTCATCTTCATCCTTTGTGGCTTCATGTCATCCATACGTTTGGTGAAGAAGCCTTCTTTTTCTCTATTGAAAGCATCGAAATTTTTAAAAATACCTTCACAGGATGGAGTCAAGGGTAAAATTCTTGGTCCTGCACATAGAACTCTCCCTGCACGTGAGCACCAAGTCATTAATCAGTATTGATTCGAGACATTGTCTACTGTGTTGTCTTTGCATTGTCTACATGCCTCTACCATCTTACATAATACTCTAGAGCTATTATTAATAAGATGCTTGAGGAGTCCAGAGACACTCATCAGCTCCTTCTCATGCTAAGGAAAGTGGTCACCTTTCCCTTTGCTAAACTGATTTCTTTCTTAAGGATTTCTTAGTTATGTCTGCTATCTTTTTCTCTTTTCAATTTGCCTCTTCTATTTCTGCCCATACAATATAAATATAACATAAATTCAGCACTTGAAAAATTTTGCTTTCCCGCTACACTCTATCTCCCACTCAGAATGTCCATATTTCAAGTTTTTCCTTCTTCTTGGACTTGCCAGTCCATCTGTAATCATTTTTACTCAGCAGGGTAATGCTATGACCTTGCTCCAACATGCAAAGTAAAGGTATTCAGGCAGAGACCCCGCCCATTTTCTAATTTACTACCTTCAGATTTAGCAGCACCGAAATCCCGCCAAGTGGAGGTGAAAGCTTCTCCATATTTGGAATATCTTATCATAATTCTTCAGAAACCTAGATTCTCATAGCCCTTCTTTTATATCATCACGCACTTTCTCTCAATTATCCTTAAAAAACTATAGCTCCTGCACACCATTAACAAAATATTCCCCTTCAAACCTGGCTTCCTATTTTATTTACCATCTCTCCACCATCTTCATTTCTGCACTTCTTTTAGTAATTTGCCTTTTGCATTTACTATTTCATTGGGTGTAATTAGGTCATTAGGAATTTCATACTTTCTAACACACACACACACACACACACACACACACACACACACAGACATACACTCTCTTTTTATTTCTTACCTTACAAGGATTCTTGGACTAAGCATTTCTGCTTTGTTTCATTTTCTTTAGTTTCTTTTTGTCTTTGTCTCAGGATAGCTCAGCCTCTTAATTTTCCTTCTCCATCTCTGAATGCCTTCTCTTTCTTGTCAGGTTTCTCTTTCTTAGTCACCACTGACTTGGGTATTCTCAGCAAAGCCTACAGCTTCTACCTCCATCTCATCTTTGTGTGTGACTCTCAATTCTCTATTTCCAGCTCTATTTTCAGACTAGACCTTATTGGAATCCTCCTTCAAATGCAGATCTCCATATGCGTGATTCATTCTCCCAAAATGAACAATTTAGCTTCCCCCTGCATCCTCTCACCAAAACATGCTCTTCTTTCTGTTATTCTTTTTCTGGTCTATAGGACCACTGTTCACCCTCAGGCTGAAGCTAGAAATATCCTGAAAACATTTTTCTTCTTCAATAAGTCACAAAGCCTTTTAGATGTTATTACTTAAAGTTCTCATTTTTATGAGATTTTAAATAATCTTCTGATTATTTCCCTTGTGTACAGCATTTCACTTCTTTAATCTTTCCTCTATTTCCAAAATGAATCAGTTTTCTACAGCTAACATAGAAGATCATGTACCTCCTTTCCTTAACATCCCACAATGTGTCCCATTTACTATAGGAAAACATCTGAGTGCCTCAGCAGACACGTTTCACATGTCACGCTGGAGTTGGCTGCATTTTTCTGAGATCCATGCCTTAATTATCCCTATTTCTTTATACACAGTGATTTCAATTCGCAGAATACTGCAATTTGTCCATCGTTTAATAACTGAATTCTCTTTCTTCCAAATAACAGTGGAAACGGACTCTGTCCTGCAAAACACAGCCACTCTTATATCATTCTGTTTTATGTTATCATTCTTTTTTTGTGCAAGCCACTATGCAGCACTGATTATTTTATTGAGAATACATATTTTTCTGCCTATTTCTGCCACAAGATAGAAACTAAGACAATAACAAGTTTCTTAAGAAAAGTGATTGAATTGTATGCATCTTTGTAATGACAATTCTTTTTGTTCTTTTTAGAAAATATATAATTTATTAGATGGCTTTTAAAATCAACACAAATCACTTTGAGACATTTCTTGAATATAGACTATGGGAATTTTGTGCTAAAGAATAGCATGAGTAGTAGGAAATATGATGAAAATTTCAGCTTTAGTTTTTAGAACAATACATACAGGCTAGACAATTGTGAGAAGTTTTGCTTAAACAGTCCAATATATTCTGCTACATTTCTTCACCCTCCCATCCCACCATTCTAAGGTTAAATTAAAGAAGTCATGTTTTAGCATTTGAAGTGCTAAATTCTTGCTTTCTTCCCATCACTTCACTATCATGGTTTTAAAATTATCATATGTTCTTTGATATAGTTTTATTTTTGTGCTAAGTACAGTTTAAAGACATTTTTGTAATGTCACCACTCACCATTAGTGAATGAAGCTGATTATTTTGATATCTTTTAAAATTCACTATAATATGTTTATTTTGTAAGAAATAGCCTTCTTATTACTAATTTCTTTATACATCTAATGCTGACTTTTTCCTTTCAGTAAATATAAGGGGTAGGGGAATGGAACCGGGGACTGGATTAAGTCTCTAGGTTAAACACTATACACGGATTTTATTTGGCATATTTTTCCAATTTAAACTGATTGAACTTGCATCTCCAAAACAACCTTTCTTGGTTAAAAAAAAAAAGATAATACATGTATAATTTAACCTCTTCACCTAGTTAGTAAGTAGCTTAAGTAGCTGGGAAAGTCTAGGTATTTCTCTTATCCTTCTGAATCTACTATGCATATAAAGTTAAAATTAAGAAGGTTAAAATGTTAAATACAGTATAATTTAGAGGATTCAACTATTGGCAACTGTATGCTGAATATACTGCAATCTAGTGCTCTGGCAATGTTCTGTAGTGAGAATAGTTCCATCAGTAAATCAAGCTAGTGATAGGTACGTGGTCAGGAACTAGAGAAGACATACAGAAACTAATGGTTTGGAGGATGAGAACACAGGCAAAGTTTAGCATATATTCAGGACAGAGAAAATATAAGTTCACTAATGGTGAATAAACATGCAGGAGCACCACAAATCTTCACTGAACAAATGCCTTTCCTTTGCTTAATATTGAATGCATAAATCAAAGAAAGAAATGTAGAAACCAGCAATGATTTGTTCTTGGTGTGTAGATCCTGGATCTGTGGAATTAGTATATCTTCAGCTATCTGTTTTCAAAATAGGATTTTAATACTTAGCTCAAAATTAATGAACCAATATTAAACTCATTAGTTTGCAAAACACTTTTTTCCTCACATTAAATTTTGAAAGAATACATAAATTTGCCTAAATCCAGCTCTCACGTCTGAGAAATGGTCTCATGGATATTTTGTTATTTATCTAAGACTCATCACTGTTCAGTAAAAAATTTTTGAGTGTACATATATGTGTGGACAAAACCAGGGATAAAATAGAGGTATCACATAGGGTTATAAATAGGACTAAATTTGATGATTTAAAACTTAAGAGTTAACTTCATTCTGTAATAAGAAGTTTGGCAGTAGGTGACTTTTTTATATTCAGCAATTTAGGAAAAGCATCATCAGAGATCAGGACTTTTCTTTTGTCTTCTCTGTCTGATATATATATTTTTTATTTTGTGGTTGTGGTCCTGCCCACTCCAATGCTATGAGCATTGCCTCTGGTGGGAATTGCCTCGCTGCAGCTCTGTGTATTCTGGAGGGCCTAAGGAGGGGTGGCAGCCTCAATATCTTTGCCTTCTAGAAGACAATAGCTTTTGCAGAATTCTTTTGAACACGTTGCCTTGTGGCACATTAGTCATAATTCTAAGTTGAACAGTGAATGATACCTTTCATTTTGTGAACCCCAGAAATATTTGGAAAAGTATCTTTTTTCTCCTTTCTTTTTTCTCTCTTTCTTTCTTTTTTTCTCTTTTCCTTTCCCTTACTTCCTTTTTTCTTTCTTCTTTCTTTCTTTCTTTCATCTCCATAATTGAAGCAAAGAAACATAAAGAGGGATCAAAAATCAGTCCAGTCTGCCTTAGTGGATAAGACCAAGTATCTCTAATCACTGTTCTATACTTCTCATTAGTATGAGCTACTAACGTATTACTCCATTGTTTTCTTAATTCAAAAATTTTACAGATCATGTGCATCAATGGTTTGGACATGGTTTATGTTGCCTTTCTTTTCTGCATAGCATCTATTTTTGAATAATCTTTCCCCTTGAATATATTCATGAGATACTCGTTGTAAAAATTCTAACCTTTTCCTTTTTCCTAAAGCTAAATTCTTTAGATCAATTTATATTATTTTATCCTGAATAAATTAATTTTTAATATGTTTGTGAATTTCACTAGTGTGAAATGTTTAATCTTTAAGTCATAAATATAAAACTAAGTATAATCAAATCAAAATACATAACTTTGGCTTTTGAATCATCCTATTGCAAACTGCAAACGTTTCTAATCAATTTTATACATGCTTTGTTTACAATTCCTTCATATACCTACACCAAAGCTTAAGATTTTCATAGTGTTAAAGAAGATCAAACTAAAAAGAGCTTTGCTTACTGTGTTTCCATGTCCTTCATTTTATGGATCGGAAGACAGGAAGACCAAGTTAAAATGACAGTGTTAATCTCCTAATCTCTGATCATATTATTTTGAAATTCTCTATTACTGTTTTTATTATTATTTCTTTAAAATAAAAAAAGAGAAACAATATTAGAGACTCTAATTTCCCACTAACCACTTTAATATTTCTCTCACTAGATTGATGTGCTTCCAATTTCTAACATGAGAGACACATTAAAGCTCACAGTACATACTGGCAATATCAAACTAGTCAAGCAGGAGGAATCAAGGAGGTGGGGATACGGGGTGACACTAAGAAAGTGCAAAGACAAAACCAAGATGAAAAGTACTGAGTAAGCTTAGGCATGCTTCGGGCAATCTTGAGCCCTGGGTTCAATGTGGAAGGGCAGGGCACAGCTGGGGGTAAGCCCTTGGGAACTAGGCAGGTCGTGACCATGATTCTGTGAGATGCACCCATATTTTGTAGGATTCCAGACAGAAGGCTGTTTGGGCAAGACTCTGATTCCTGAGGCGGAGAGCTGATAGGTTCCCAGTGGGATCCAGGCATTATCCGCTGTACTGCAGTGTAGACTAGAGCTCTGAATATAGGCGTGACGTCTTTCTCAGTATGAAGGTCACAAATCAAGAGAAAGAAGTTAGGCAAAAGTAAATTAACAGGGACAGGGCCCTATCACAGTACACCATGACTCAGTTTACAAATGATTTTAAGATTCATCCTGGAATTTTAGTGATTGGATTTAAAGGTCAGCAAAGTACAGGACAGGAGTGGGACCCAGCAGCCACAGGAAATATTCAGGACTCAGGCCTTAGGTATCCGGATTTACTTAAAGGCCTCACTAGCCTCTTACTGAGTACCTCTCAGGATGAGAGTACCTCAGGAGTCAGCAGTAGTACCTCTCAGTACTCAGTAGATTAGTGACACCATTGGGTATAATCAGGAGCGGAGGTCCTATACTGCTAGAATCCAATTTATATTTAAAATTTGCCCTAAAATTATATTGGAGGTGGCAATTAAAGAAAGGATGTCAGGATGCACAAAACTTAATTCAACAGGAAAAACTGACTTGCATGTGTTTTCAAAAAGTATCCCAGTTGTAGGTGGTGTTCATGAATTCATTATGTACAATATTTTTATAAATTTGTACGTTTTAATATAGTTTGTGTTGCCTGTGTTTAGTTTGGATCTTTTTTTTTGTACCAGAAACTTATTTCTGCAAGATTTCTTAAAAATAGAGACAGCATGAAAATAGCTGTAAGAACAATATACGGATTGTTAGAATATATCACTTTGCAGATGGGGGAAGTGCATGGAGTGCAGGCCTTACCACAGTCAATCCATTGGGTTATTAAGGTGACCAAGCTCACCAGACCATGAAACACTTGGTCTAACCATTACATTCATCTTAATGACCAAATCCAACCAACTGCTCAATAATACAATCAGTTGCTCAATAACTGTCCATTATGAAGGCAGAAAATGAAATAAAACAAATGGGCAATATTTGGATCAGTTTAGTGAAACCATAGCAGGTAGGATGGCCAAGCATATGCCTAGCTTTTATGCCTCTTATGATGCAGTGCATTTCCTTCATTTTGACTGCTTAGAACTACTCAAGTCTCAGACATTTTAATCTCTAAATTTTCTCATTACCGTTACTTTCTATCTTCCTTTGTTTCATTTATTTGTACTAATAACAGATTTTTAAAGCAATTGATCTTCTTTATTTCATCATCATTTCTTTAAATCTTTTTTTTAATCTTAGGAGAAAACCTATTTTTTGTTTTAATTTTCTCATCTACATGAGTATGAGTCTCTCACTTTGCCTTCTTTTTGAAAGCATTAATTCCAGGAAAGCATAAGTTATATTTTACTTAAAAGCAAATTTTACATTTACCTAAAGATATATTTAGCTTAGATATATACCTGCCTAGATATTTTTGGTTTCTTTATAATCTACATCCAAATACTCAGACA